CTAACAGGGATGAATACCTAGATAGCAAGAAGGTTTCAGCTAGGTATTAAAATAAAACATGACTTGATGTGATGTGTTGCTAGGGATGGTATACATCGACAATGAATGACATCTTAACAAATGCCAACTCGGAATTACTAATATCACTGTCAGCAATACGCCTAATGTTTGCGGTTAGGCGTGTCAGGCGTGTTAATAATTAGGCGTGTCAGACTAGTTACTAATATTATTGGTTAGCGAGTTAATAATTCCACGTGGGTTTCGTGGAATGGTTAATGGGGGATAAGTGATAGAGTTTTTCATTGAAAGATAAACTCTATCATTTATCCATGGCCATACATTTCTCAGCGCCAGCGGCTATAAGAATACATGCCGTCCAATCTTCCTCCACACAAAGTCGGACATTAATAGTACTGTAGTTAAGTTGGAGTGACAAAAAAAAAAACACAAATATTCAAGACAAAGCCATGGAGGTGGTTGAAGTTCTGCACATGAATGGAGGGATTGGAGAAACCAGTTACGCCTGTAATTCATCTCTCCAGGTATATATCCCCATCCAACTAATACCATCATCTACAGAGGTTCTTTGATTTAATTTGCTCAAAGCAAGTGATATATAGTTGATAGCTAGCTACCTTCTTAATTAATTTCCATCATATCAAAGAGTAAGAGGTTTATTAGTTTGGTTCACTGAAACTTTTGTGTTGTGCAGGGAAAGGTCATTTCCATGACCAAGCCCATAACTGCAGAGGCCATATTCAATCTCTGTTCAACGACCACTTTGCCCAAAAGCCTTGGGATTGCAGACTTGGGTTGTGCCTCCGGACCCAATACCTTGTCGGTGGTCTCTGACCTTATCAATCTCATCCGCACCAAATACGGCGAGACGGGTTGTCCCTCCCCAGAGTTTAAGGTGTTYTTGAATGACCYTCCAGGGAATGACTTCAATACTATTTTCAGATCCTTGCCAGACTTGTACAAGAAATTGAGGCAAGACGACCCAGGAAAAGATTCTGGGCCATGTTTTATATTTGGAGTTCCTGGTTCTTTCTATGGTAGGCTGTTCCCAAGCCAGAGCCTTCACTTTGTTCATTCTTCATATAGTCTACATTATTTGTCTCGGGTAAGCAACGTAACTTTGATTTGTTTAGACGTTCAGTTCAGTTGGCACAATTGACAAAACACTACGCATTACTTCAATATGAATAGACTAAGCAGATATGATGACAGGTTCCTGAAGGGGTAGAAGGTAATAAGAGGAACATTTATATGGCGAAAACAAGCCCTCCAAGCGTTTTCAAAGCATACTTGGAGCAATTTGAAAGAGACTTTTCAGTGTTTCTTAAGTCACGCTCAGAAGAGATGGTTCCAGGAGGACGTATGATCTTAACACTTCTGGGTAGGAGGAGCCAAGATCCCTCCAGTAAAGAGTGTTGTTATATGTGGGAGCTGCTGGCGCAGGCGCTCAATAGCATGGTTTATGAGGTAAGAATATAAAAACAGACTTCTTTAAAGCTACAAATGAACTTTGAACTTTGATGGGGAAATGAATTTTTCTCCTATTATAAAAGAGAAGAGTTCCTTTTACTACAACAGTGTCGTAGTGCAAGACTAAAATCTAGGCCTTCAAAGCCAAATGTATAATTGTATTTTGAATCTTTCACCCTTTTACTGCAACAGTGTCGTAGTCACATCAATACAGTTGCCGCTGCACTTTCTCTCCTTTCCTTTTTTTTCTTTGTTGATTTCTTTTTTTCTTTCCTTATTTTCTTTCTTTCTTTCTCAACCGACAATCACATGTATGTTTTTTCTTTTAAAAGACTAAGAGTAATGAAACGCTAATATGCCAATCTATTCAAACTGTCATAATCATTCGACTCGGATGATTGAACTGTTGAATTAAAAACTGGTAGCCACAACGGTTCGGTTTTTGGGTCAGTTTTTAAAACCTTGCTCTCAATCTCTCAATCTCCTATGCATTTTATTAAAATGCAAACCGTTGTCTGGGTCAAACGGTTTGACAGTTCGATCACTCTGGTTAGTGGTTCCTTGACCAAGTTAATGGGTTTTGGCCCAAGAACGGGTTAAGGGTGAAACAGAATTGGTTTCCTAAATGGTTTCTGGGTTGAACGGTCCGACTATTCGGGTCAATGATGGTTCGATCGTTCGAGTCAACATCCAACTAGACAATTTTCACTATTGTAATAGGAGTGGAACTCATCAGCTCCATGTCTACTTAGATTAAATATAATAATAACCAGTGTATTCAAAATCGGATTTGATGGTTGGACTAGAAAATCTGGGGTCCGGTTCTGCTAAAAAACCGTTGATTTGATCAGCGAACCGCTGACTCAGGCGCTCGAACAATTGAACCGTTAACCTGGACAATGGTTTTTGGCCGTTTTTTGTTTTTGTTTATAATATTTTTTTGTCATAATGGGTCATTCACTCGGACCGGACGATTGGACCGTTCACCGGACCCCAGAACAGTTCCTTGTTCGGTCTAATTTTAAAAACCTCGATAATGACAATGATGATGAGAAATGGCTTTTCCATCCCACTAATTATAAGTAACTGAACCATTTGAACCAATCCAAGATGCCATTTAAATAAAAAAAAAGTGAAAATTATGTTTTATCCCACCTGGATAAAAAACAATAATCCATTAAAAGGGACGAGTTGGGATCAACTGCCAACACATAGTGGTAACAACTTCCCAACCAGTCGTTGTAGCCGTACATTGAGAACATCTCCCCATGATTGACAAGGGATATGCTCCCAATGTAAGGCAGCATGGTGGGTTGGCACAGGGTTGGTGTTTTAGCCATCTGGGTAAATGAATAATCGATAGAGTAAACAGATTTTAGTAACATAATAGTTACACTTTCATCTGGAATTGTGAGGAGATATGTCACTGTCCAACTAGCTAAGTTAATGATGAACTAAAAAGATGATGACGAGGAGGAGAAAGAAAAGAAGTGAAAGGGAAAAAGGAGGGTTTGGGCACATTCCAGCCTTTTATCCCTTATTTTTAATTAAAAAGTACATGTTTTCAAAGAGATCAAATTGGCGCTCAACATGCACATATAATCGTGCATTTGGGAATATCTCCCCTACTTATCATCTTGTTTACAAAGAAGAAACAWCTCTTCATCACTTTTATGAATTCCATCTGATTGATTATCACTTAGTTGATTGGTTATATATTTTTTTCCCTATTTATATCATAATCGAACCCTAGGTTATATATTTTTTTTTCCCTATTTATAATCTGCTTTTTTGATTTATTATGTAGGGATTAATTGAAGAGGAGAAAGTGGACACATTTAATCTGCCCCTGTATACACCATCTCCAAGCGAAATAAAGACTGTGATAGGAAGAGAGGGATCCTTTAACATTGATAGACTAGAAACTTTTGAGGTACACTGGAATCCTGAAGACAAACCCGGTAATAACGAAGTTGACAAGCTAAGAGGTGCAAACATCGTAGCCAGATACATGAGAGCTGCAGCAGAACCATTGCTTGTTGATCACTTTGGGGAGGCTTTAATGGAACAAGTATTTTGGAGGATCAGAGAGATCCTGGCTAATCGCATGTCCAAGGAGGAGACTAAACATACTAATGCCATCGTCTCCGTGACCAGAAGAAAATAAAGGTTAACCGTATTAGGCTGTCTTGAATTTATTATTACAACTGAGTATAATGTAATATTGGTTTTATTAGAGGTGACCTCCGATGCAAAGCTTCCTCATTATTATAGACATGGTAAGAAGCGTTTGTGTTATATTCTGTGATATACTTTTCTTTTTTATCTTTCTTTCTTTACTATTCATTTTAGAATTTTTGTTGTTACTAGTAGGAATTCGGAACACGTGCCGTGCATGGAATTTTTTAACCGAATTGGAAATTAGAGTTAATGGGCTTTTAAAGAGCCCTAAATACTTATAAACACCTTACCACAAAATTTCATTACAAATATCCCCTATTTAACACTTCATCACACTAAGATTTTAATTTGGGCTATCTAATTTGCCAAGATATTCATTTCTTAAATTCCCTTGATCATACCATTTATGGACCAATCAAATTTCCCTAAATGATCTATGAAACCAATACCTCTAGAAACCCCATTATCAACACTTAATTTTTTGCTTAATTTGCTGTTAAAACCCCGATTTACCCCAAACACCCGATCAGACCATTCCGATCCTTCCGAAGTACCTAAAAATCCCAAAACACTGTCATCAAACCTAGGACCTCCTAAAATATCTACCCCTGAAATTTCAACCCAAGATTCCCCTTCGTTTATTCTTTTATCTAACTAAGATTCCCTTTTGAACCATCTATTTATCCTGAAGCACCCACAACCCAAATTTTCTTGATCCTAACACCTCTGAATCAATTAGACTATACAATTGAACTCTAGACACACCAAAAAACATCTACCTATAAATTTTTATCCTAAAATTCCCCCATTTACCCCATCATCGAACAAATATTCCATTTTAGATGCTCTCGTTGACCCAAATTTTTGTGATTTTGGTCCTCCAAAATCAATTAGATGTTTCCATAAGATCCTAAACATCCTAAAAACATATCCACAACAATTCAACCCAAAATACCTTTGTTTGCCCCTTCATTACACCAAGATTCTGTTTCAAAGTTTCATATTGACTAGATCAAGTTCTTTCCGAGTTTTCCCGATCTTAGCATAATTGGGCCAATCTGACCCTACCAATCAACTCATGATGCTCAAAAACACCACTCTACCAAATTTCAATAAAAAATTCCCTCATTTTTCCTCCATCACACAAAGATTCTGTTTTAAAGTTAATAAATTAACCGAATCACTACCCCTCTAGATCTGCTTCCGAGCCTACTTAGGCTAATCCAACCCCACCAATCGATTCAAAATGCCTAAAAACACCACCCTGTAAAATTTCAGTCAAAAATACCCTTGTTTGCCCTCTATATAAAAATATTCCATTTTAGCTAATCTCATTAACCCATACACACAAAACCACTATATATACTCAAATCCATCTCCACCCTTCATTTTTTCAATCCAAAATACCCACCATTAGATTAGAATTTTTTTTTGGCCTCCTTAGACCCAAATTGACTAAAATACCCCTCGATCTTACCAAAATTACCAAAACACCTAAATTAAATAAATACCATAATTAATTATGGTATTTTTAATAATATTTTTGTTATTAATTACGCTATTTATTTAAACAATATCTATGAAAATACTGTTAACTAATTAATAGTATTTTGATATAATTAATTAGTGATTCATTAATTAACAATATTTTTATTAATTATGGTATATATTTAATTATTTAACAATATTGTATGCATTTTTTGTAGTAGTATTTTTATTAATTATGGTATTTAATTAAATAAATACCGTAATTAATTAATAAATACTGTTTTATAATTTATTGTTAATAGTATTAATTAATTAAATAAATTAAATAATTAAAAAAATATTGTAAAATAATGTTAGTTAATACTGATAATTAATTAAAAAAATAAATAATTCATTATGAGAGAGGGAGAAGGGAGTGATGAGATGGCTTCATGAGGGAGCAAGAAAGGCTCAAACGAAGAGTGTTTGAGAGTTTTCAGTTGGGGTAAGGAAAAAAGCTCAGGCCATGACGTGGCATATTTCTACTTTAGTATATATATAATAGATTAAAWATTTTCTATTAAATAACAAAGTAAAATTAGATTTATGCATCATATTGAAAATATATTTATCACAAAAATACAATAAATAATTATTAAATATACAATAAATATAAATTTTTGTATAAATAAATGTAGATTAAGTTCTCAAAATTGTTATAATAAATATCAATTTTCGGAAAGTTATTTTGTAGAATTATTAATTGATATATGTTAAATAATGTTTTTATTATTAGTACATTAATAATTGCAATTATTATACTATTTTTAATATCTATTAAAAACTTTTTTTGAAAGTTATTACCTAGTTTTGTTATTTGAAAGCTTCAATAATTATTTCAATCATATTTGAAAATTTAAAAAATTTTTAAATTGTTTATATTTTATATTCTTATTATCAAATATTATTAAATCTATTATAATTATTCTTGTGTTTTTTATATTTTATAATATATTATAACGATTTTCTACTTTTAATAAAAATTTTAAGTTTATAACATAATTTCGTTATTTTAACTATTTAAAATTTCGTTATTTAGTTATTTTAACTATTTAAAATTTATTACATAATTTTGTTATTAAAATTTTTTCATTATTTAAATTTTATTTATTTTAAAGTTATTACATAATATTAAATATTTTTATTATTTTGTTACTTATAATATTTAGTTATTGAAATTTTTAAATAATATTTTTTAATTTTAATTTCTAATTATTTTAATAATATTTAACTTGAATAAATCATGAAGTTATAATTTATATTGTTAGTACACAATTTCGTTATGAATTTCATAAAAGTATAAAATTATTAATAATATGAGTATTATTAAATCTATGATATTTTTTTGAGTTTTTAATAAATATTTGAAATATCACATAATTTTATTATAATATTTAAATAATTCAAAACTTTTTTAATTCAATCTTTCTTTCCATAGATATAGGTGAAAAGTGAGGGAGAGGTTAAATAGGAATTAAAAATAATTTAGGAGAGAAACTCTGCTAAATTAGAGATAAATTAGTACAAAGTGGGGGATAGTGGTGCCACTTGACTAGATTAGATTAGATTTTGGTAGAGAGAGATTTTAGGAATAATTTTAGGAAGGGATATCCAAATTAATAAACATAAAGGAAAGAAGGGTGGTACAGGCATGATGAGGTGTTACCATCTAGTGTCAAGTTACATTTACATTTGGGGGATGTTTGGAACCGTGGCCGTTTTTCAAAAAAAACAGTGCCACATCAGATCCACATAGGCGTTTCAACAAACACCCATGTATCTCATTGTTTGGTTCAGCTGATTATTAAAAAATCGGGCATGCCTTGAAAATTGGGACCCCACCGATGCATGAAAAACCATTGTTTGGTGTTTGGTTCAGCTGATCATTGTTTGGTGTTTCATGCATCGGTGAACCGTTTCCCCCAATGGTTGACTGATGTATATCCTATGTGGTGCTTACCTGTCAGTACAAACATGAAAAACGGTGATGAAAATTGCCTTACCAAACAGCATAATGTTGCTCACTACCTTGTAGTAGAAGCATTTTTTTGTAAAAAAGGGTCTTGGAAGCATAGGCATTTTTTCTTGAAAATTGGTCCCTAGCTAGACTTGTAGTAGATGTATAGTGTATTATTATTGAGTTTAATATGATAGTATATATTAATTATTAAATTGTGCAAATATAACATTAARAATTGACAATATAATGACATTTAGAGATATCAATGTTACTCGCTAATAATAACCGCCACTGGAGCCTTATATATGGAGGTTCATTTGTTTCACCACTGGTCTAATGTAATTTCCTCCAGATATGGAAATCACTTTGGATGTGATGTACGGATTTTCTATGGAGCCTTATATTCTGACCTTTTTTTTTCTAATAGGAACCCATGTGATGTACGGATTTTGTAAAGTAAAAATTAAACAACAGAAATATATATAGGATATATAATAGTTTTATATTTTAATTTTTAATAATTAATTTAATCGAATTTGATTTAAGTTTATCATATTTTTAGTATTTTAGATCAGTTTTAGTTTAGCAATTTTTTAATTTGACTGAGTTAGGTCAGTTTCGATTTGGCCATTTGTAACTAGACGAAAACTGAATCGATTCGACCATAGATATATATTAATATTTTATACTTTAAATATAATTTTTTAATACAGGAAAGTGAGAAAATTCCCATGTTTCTTATTCTAAAATATTTTATATCATAAATTTAATTTTTAATTTTTTAATAATACTACTATAATTTATTAAATTTAAATTTATTTTTAAGTTTAAATATTTTGAACAAATAAACCAAACTGAAAATATACCAAACTGATATAACCCGAGTTGGTAGGTCTTCACTAATGGTCAATTGGTTTCRAGTGACAAACTCCTTACCTAACCAAGTCRATCTAGTTGGCAAAACAGCTTGTAACCATGCTTGACCAATCCTCGAACACTCCTAATTTTAGCTAAATTAATAGTCTAATCTCTAAAAAATAAAAATAGTTTAATCTCCAAAAATTATAGAAAATTTATAGGAAAATACACAATAATTGACAATAAATTAATGATTAAAACACAATAGATATCTAATGAAAAAACAATATTACAAAATACAATAAATACTGAAAATATATTAAATTAGTCAATAAATAGTGTAATCTCAAATAATAGTTTAATTTCTAATAAATACATTATAAAAAACACATATTTACTAAAAATAAATTTATAAAAAATACGATAAATTAAATTTAAAAAGTTAATTAATAGTTTTTTAATATCCAATAATTATATACAATTTACTATTCAATAACCAAACAAAAATAGATTTATAATAATTTTCGAAAACATATTTATCAAAAGATACAATAAATAACTACTGAAAATAAAATAAATATTAATTTTAGCATATATATAAATTAATGGAGGACGTTTGACCCGATCTATGAAATAGAGACATGTGGACACTGACTCAGCACGAGCAACATCTCAGCATTATAGCCTAGTGCCGAGCTCATAAGGCAACTCGTTGTATCGTAGCCCACAACAGGAGAAGCTCGCCACGACGCGAACTCCAGGTTCCCCGAGCTCCCTTTAAGGGAATACCCTGAGGCAA